AGAGAGAGAGAGAGAGAGAGAGAGAGAGAGAGAGAGAGAGAGAGAGAGAGATTAATTATTGCGATATCTTTACATGATTCTAGAACCATAATACAGTATCATGTTTTTAGAATGCTTCTGTTCAGTAGAGTAAGATTTTAGGTTGTAATGATATCTTTGGGTTGTTTTCAGTATTTTTATCTGGTTGATATTTCTAAATCTATTTACATAAATAGTTACCCGTCACAGCTGTGTATATTCGTGTTGAGTAAGCGCACTTGTGCGTGGACTGTGCCAGTTAGATTTTGGACATAATCATCTGTCAGTGAGGAACAGAGGTGACTTTGAACAAAACCGCACTCGTGAGAAGCAACGGATGGCTTCGTTTAGAGGACTACATCGTGCAAGATTTTTAGCCTTATGTTTTAACCTTCTTTTTGTCATGTTGTCATTCAAGCTAATATCTTCTTGCATGACGATACACCTTCTAACAGGGTCAACACCACTAGACAATCTTTGGAAAACCAAATCATACCAACGATGGAATTGTCACCAGTAAATAGCCCCGATATGAATGCTACAGATATGTGGAGCCCCATGAAACACCAGCTGAAGAAACACGGCTTTTTTGTTCATATTTAAGTTACCTTCTTAGCAACTCTCTGAGACATTTGGGATGAAATGACAAATACTTATGTTCCGAATTTAACACAGTCACATTCCTTGCCCAAAGTGTTCGTGCTCTACACATAATGAATTCAAAGAATTACAATCGAAAAAGCTTGGCATGTTTTGAAACTCCATTTTTTTAAAACGTCAAATTAAAAAAAACCCTGGGTTCTGAGCAGATAGAACTTTGTAATTCTGAAACATCTATTTTTCAATCTATTTGAAACTATCGTAAAAAAATAATATTGCAATATCGCCTTACTACACACTCTTTCGTTTTTTATTTCACACAATTTTTTTTCCAAATCTAATTTTTTAAGGTCAACCCTGAGTGACCAAATCTCGGACGAATCTTAACATAAATTAAAGATAAATATGTAATATAT